AAAACAAAACAAAACAAAACAAAAAACTAAAGCTTTTTGTGGCCACCACGACACACACGTTACTGGACTGCACATCTGAGCCCAGTATGGGCAAATTGCCAAGACGATCTTAAAATAAAAACTTTTAAAGAGTGCCAGATGTGGTGCACATCTGTAATCCCGATACTTAAGGGGCTGAGGCAGAAGGATCGTTGTGAATTTGAGGCAAGCCTGGGCTACATGGTGAGACCCTGTCTCAAAAACAAAAAAACTGTGAAAAGTTCTGAGGCTGTAATTCAGTGCTAAACCCCTGCGCTCAATCCCCAGTACTGAAAAATAAACCAAAGCCAAACTACGTCGTTTCATCAATGCTGGTGGGTAAGGTAGTGAGGTAAAAAGTTATGTTTTTTTTTTTTTTTTTGTAAAAGCGGGGTATAGCTGATGATTCAGCACCTCCAGCTCTTCATCTGTGTCCCTCTGCACCCTTCCTCCTCCCATTCTTCCTCCTGTAACTAAAGATTGTTTTGCTTGTTCTTGATTTTCACATAAATGTACAGCAGATTCTTTTTTTGTGCCTGGGTTCTTTCTCTCCATGTAACCGGCATGAAACTCATGCCTACCGTTGTGTATGTGTATCAGTGCTCTGTTCTTTTTCACTGATGTGTAGTATTCCGGGGCAGAAATAGACCACAACTCCACAAATCAATTCTGGCAGGGGAGAGGGCACACTCCCTTAATCCCAGCTACTCAGGAGGCTGAGGCAGAAGGATCACAAGTTGGAGACCAGCCTGTGCATCTTACAGAGACCTTGTCTCAAAATAAAAAAATAGGAAGGATGTAACTCTGTGCTAGAGCAGTCGCTTAGCACATAGGAAGATCTGGTTCAATCCCCAGCGCCAAAACAAAACAGAATAAAACAAAACCCAAAAAACCCCTATTCTGTTGCATCTGGGTTACTTCCGGTGTGGCAAAATGACTGCAGCCCTTGAACATGTCTTTCTGTGGTCACAGGCACGAATTCCTCTTTCTCATGGTGTGACGCCGGCTGGGCGGCCGCAGCCTCTCAAGAGCGCCTGTTAGAAATACAGATTGCAAGGCCTTGTCCAGGGGCTGGGGTTGGGAACTCAGGGCAGGGAGCAGCCGGGGTGGGTGCCCCTGACAGCAGAGCTTGGGAACACCCACTCTTCGTCAAGGTCACAGTAGGTGGAGGCTGAGGATTGACAACACAGCCCAGGCCCCCACACTGAGCAAGCGCCGGGTCCAGCTCCCCCGCACCATGTTCCGATCTGAGGATTGGACACTTGCATTGAGTTTGTTTCTTTCTTTGTGACAGGGTCTGGCTATGTAGTCCACGCTGGGCTGGATCTCACTATGTAGCCCGGGCTGGCCTCGACCTCGCGCGATCGTCCTGCCTCAGCCTCCCCAGAGCGCGGGGACAACGGGCGCGCGAGGCCCCTACTCCCCACTCACCTGGCCGCCGGCCGGGGGCGCCCCGCCGCGCAGCGCCCGCACCTCCTGCTGCAGGCTGTCGCGCTCCAGGCGCAGCGCTTCGGCCGCCAGGCCGCCCTCGCTCACCAGCGCCTCGAGCAGCTCCAGCACGCGCACGATCGTGAACTGCAGCTGGGTCACGCGGGGGTCGCTGCCCAGCGCCATCAGCTCGCGGCCCACCACGTAGGCGATGTCGTACACGTCCTCGGCGGTCAGCTGCAGGGCGCTCTTGCCCAGGGCGCGCCCGGGCCCGGCCTCGTCCTCGCCGTCCTCCTCCTCGTCCGCGTCCTCCCGGCGCACCCGCGGCTCCTCCATGGCCCCTGCGCCCAGAGGCCGCTCGGCCTCCACTTCCTCGCCGCACCAAAACTTTCCGCCGTGCGGAGCCCGCCGCCCAATCAGCCGCGAGTCTGCGCGTCCGAGAGGCGGAGCCGCCCGCCCCGCCCCTAGCAACGGCCGCGTCTCCATGGAGACGAGTGGGGCGGGGTTTCCAGCGGCACTGGGAAAAACGGTAAAAAAAGCACAAGACTTTTTTCCCCCCTGTTAAACTCAAACTTTCCAGCCAGAGAATTTGCATCGTACCGGGCGTGGTGGCCCAGGCCTCTCAGCACTGTGGGAGGCTGAGGCAGGAGGATGGAAAGTTCGAGCCCAGCCTGGACAACTTGGCGGTTTAGAGAGACCCTAACTCAGAATAAATTTTAAAAGGGCTGGGAGTGCAGCTCTGTAGGAAGGCTCAGTGCGATAAAACCAAAATAACCACGGAGCTTGCCTGGTGGGAGGCGGAAGATCCGGGTCTCTACAAGACGGTCATTTTTGGAGCGTGTAGCAGAACAGCAAACAGCTCTTGTTGGCCGCGCTCCCAGGACACTTGTCGCCAGGGCCTGTGGCATCTAACTTTGCTGTGACCTAAATACAATGGGGGGGGGGAATATCTCCCCGCGCTATTCGTTGTGCTCAGCTCCTAAGGAGCACGGCAGTCTTGGAAAGTCGGCCTCACTTTCCCGTTCTGTAAAATGAAGGCAATAATTAGATTCATGTGCAGGTAATCCCAGCACTTGGGAAGCCGAGGCAGGAAGATTGTTCTAAGTTTGAACCCAGCCTGGGTTATATACCGAGACCTTGTCTCAAAAAACCACGAAAGAGGGGCTGGGGATTTAGCTCAGCGGCAAAGCGCCCGCCTGGCAAGCACAAGGTCGTGAGTTCGGTTCCCGGTACCGGAGAAAAAAACAAAAAACCACGAAAGAAAGACTAATCCCTCAAGTGCCCTTCTGAGTCTTTGAGGAAGTGGTGGTTTGTTTTTCTTTATTTATTTTTGTGCTACTGAAGGTCAAACCCAGGGTCTTCACATTGGGCTACATCCCCAGCCCTTTTTAATTTTTTTTTTATTTTGAGGCAGGGTTTTGCTAAATTGCAGTGTTGCTGGGGCTGGACTTAAATCTGTGATTCTCCTGCCTCAGCCTCCCAGAATGCACTGTGGAAGAGGCCAGGTTAGGGACAAACACAGAAATCAGCATTTCTTCCCCCACCTTAATTCAGGTGTCTGGTGTTTTATTTTTATTTTGAGACAGGATCTTGCTATGTAGCCCAGGCTGGCCTTGAACTCACTACTTAGCCCAGGCTGGCCTCAAACTTGTGGCAATCCTCCTGCCTCAGCCTCTTCAGTGCTGGGATTACAGGTATGCACCAGATGATCTGTTTTAAAATAAAAAAAAAAAAACAATTAAAATTAAAATGAGCTGGGAATGTAACTCAGTGCAAAGCATTCACTCCCAACACTGCAAATAAATAAATAATGAAGTCGGACTCTGGCCTTACCCCATACAGAAAAACTAACCCAAAATAGATTTAAAAAATCCAAACATACAACCAAAACCCATAAAACTCATAGAAGAGCCGGGGATGGTGGCACACTCCTATAACCTCAGCTCTCGGGGGGCTGAGGCAGGAGGATCACTGCAAGTTTGAGGCCAGTCTGGGTTACAGAGTGAGTTTAAGGCCAGCCTGAACTGCATAGTGGACCCTATCTGAAAAGACTCTCCCCAAAGAAAGAAAGAATGAAAGAAAGAAGAAAAAAAGATGAGCCTGGACTATGTAGTGAGACCCTGTCTCTAGAGATAGACAATAGAGTAAAAAGGCAAGCTAGAGTGGAGGGTGCAGCTAGAGGGACAGCATGTGCCTAGCATGCAAAGGCCCGGGTTAGATCCCCAGCACCAAAACAAAGCAAAGGAAAAAATCCAGAAAATAATGTGTTTATGCCAGGTATGGTGGCATATACCTGCAATCCCAGCACTTGGGAGGATGAGGCAGGAGGATTGCTGTGATGGAGACCACTATGAAGCATCTCTGAGCAGGACTTGCATTAACCAGTTGGCTTTCCATGTTTACTTGTGAGTCACTGGTCCCTACTGAGGCCGTAATGGTGAGTGAAGCCATAGGGCCTCAAAGGACAAGATAAGGTCACAGCTGAGGATGTCTGGCTCCGACCCTCATGAGCTAAAAGGAGGCTGCAGCCGCAGGCATCTCACTCCTATGGTGAAGGCCTTCCTGGGGATAGCATAGCTGTCCTAAATTAACAGAAAATATTATTTGGAGAAGTGCTTAGAGGGATTTCCAAGACCTGCCCAGATTCCTGCATCTTCTTGTCTCCCCCTCCTTTGTCTGAAGGCCAACTAAATACAGCTGCCCAGGGAAGTCTTGCTCTTAACCCAGAGAATCTTGAATTCTGTGAGAGGGTTGAACCCTCCTGGAGCCCTAAAATCATTTCAGTTGTCTCATTTATTTAAGCCTGTGCCGTCCACTCTTTAGGGAGATTGCGGCGGCTGCAATAACTAAGGGTTCTTAACCTGCTATGAGTTCGAGGCCAGAAAACAAACAAACAAACAAAAGATGTGTTTGTGAGACCGTGGAGGCACTGGAGCTCTGCGTACTGCAGGCAGGAATGTGAGAGGTGCAGCTGTTCTGTAAGACAGTGTGGCACACCAGGCCTTAGAAGTGAAACCTAGAGGTGCCCTTCGCTTCAGGGAGTCCGCTTCTGCAAACACATCCCAAAAGAAGTGAAGGCATTATCTCCAACAGGTGTTTGTACACGCTTGTTCATAGTAGCTGTGATCGTTAATCAGAACTGTCAGTGGGCTGGGTGTGGTGGGCAGATCTGTCGTCCCAGCTCTCGGGAAGCTGAGGCAGGAGGATTGCCCTGAGTTCAACACCAGACTGGGCTGCATAGCAAGACCCTGTCTCAAAAAACAAACAAACGAAAAAACCCACCACACTGCCAAGTAGGTGACAGTGGCCCATTTCATGCCGTTCACACACACACAGTGTCCAGGACGTACGAGCCCACAGAGGTGGAAACAGTTGGTCCCCGGCTCGCCCCAGCCCCTGCTGGGATTGGGGTTGGGGAGGAACTGCTCATGCCTTCAGGGCTTCTTTGTGGGGCGATGGAAATGTTCCGATGTCAGAGCGGGTGATGGTTGCACAACTCTGTGAATTTACTGAAACCATTCAACTGTACACTTTGAACAAGTTAATTTATGATGTGTGAGATGACACCTCACTGCTGTTCTCAGAGCAGTGCCGGCAGAAAGGATGAAATGTGGCTTCACTTCTTTTCTTTCTTCTTTCTTCCCTCCTTCCCTCCCTCGCTCCCTCTCTCCCTCTCTTTCTTTTTTTCTTTTTTTCTTTTTTTTTAGCCAGGGTCTCACTATGTAGCCCAGGTTGGCCTGGATCTCATGGCAATCCTCCTGCCTCAACTTCCTGAGTATAGGATTACAGGTGTGCACCACCACACCCAGCTAACATCATGTTTTTAAAATACTGAAATGAGCCTGGGCTATAGCTCACCAGCACAAGCGCCTGCCGGGCAAGTGTAAGGTCCTGAGTTTGATTCCCAGTACCAAAAATAAACAAATAAGTAAATAAATAAAATGCCAAAATGAGCCAGGTGGGGTGGCACATGCTTAAAATCCCAGTACTTGGGAGGCTGAGGCAGGAGGATCGTTGCGAATTTGAGTTCAGTGCTTCATAGTGAGACCCTGGCTGATGGAGACCATTATGAAGCAGCCCTGAGCAAGACTTAAATTAAACAATTGCCTTTTTATGTTTATTTGTGAATCTCTCCAAAGCCTGGGCTGCTTGTCTGGAAGTGGGTGACAGACTCATAGTAAGTAAACCTCTGTGAGTCTCTAATCCCTACTAAAACCTGTAATGGCAGATGAAGCTGGAAAGCCTCGAAGGATCAAACAAGATCACAGCCAAGGACACCTGGATCCATCTCAACTAGATAAAGACTATAACCTGATATTGCTATGAGTTTGAGGCCAGCCTAAGCAATGTAGTGAGAGCCTGTCTCAGAAAACAAACAAACAAACAAAAGATGTGTTTGTGAGAACATGGAGGCACTGGAACTCTGCGTACGGCAGGCAGGAATGTGAGAGGTGCAGCTGTCCTGTAAGACAGTGCGGCACACCAGGCCTTAGAAGTGAAACCTAGAGGTGCCCTTCGCTTCAGTGAGTCCGCTTCAGGCATGTCACTCCTGGGTGGATTAACTTAATCCTTGTTAAGGATTAATTTAATACCTTACTTGGAGAAGTCCTTGAGTGGTTCTGTGCTTCTTGAGTACTCCCCTCCCTTCTGCTGATAGCTAAATAAATACAGGCAGCCCAGAGAAGGTCTTGGTTTTAGCCCTCAGAGAATCTTGAATTCTGTGAGAGGGCTCTGATCTTCCTGGAGCCCTGAAATCATTCCATTTGTCTCTTTTTATTTAGCTTTCCCTATACACTGCTTTGGGAGATTGTGGACCTGATCAGCCCGCAATAACTAAGGGATATTATTAACCCCAATACTTGGCTAAAAAAAAAAAAAAAAAAATGCAGATTCTCAGGCAGGGTGGAAGGGAGCTCAGTCGTGTGTGAGACCTGCAAGGCCCTGGGCACCTCCAGAAACAGGAGCAGAAAGAAATGCAGTTCTCAACCCAGTGAACCGGGATGCGGGTGGGGTGCAGTCTGTGTGGAGCAAGCCCTCGGCTTCCAGTGCCCGACACTGAAACCCAGGCCTTGAGGCTGAGGGGAGCAGGAGGGCCATCCCAGGGCGGACCACAGGGGTTTCAGTCTTGGCTGTGCCACTCGAAAGCAAATGGGAATAAGGATAGGTTGGCAAGATTGCTGTGAGCTGGACCCACAGTGCTCAAAAGATGTGGGCCATGTTTTTTGAGACTGGCCCTCTGTGACCTTCAGGCTAGCGCTGAACTCAGTATGCAGCCCAGCTAGAAGGTATGTTTATAAGAATGGTGTGAGGGTTGATTGATTGTGTCCGCTTAAGTAAGTAACACCCAACCAGGCTGGCTCAGCATAGCGCGGGGAGGGTGGGGCCAGAGGGTATTAAAGGGAAAGGAAGGAGGATGCCGCCTCTGTTTTCTTTGGAGGAGCTCCAGTCTTGGCTTTCAC